AGCTTCCCCAAGGCACAAATTCTTTTCCTTGTCCTTGAACAGTATTGCTGCCACCAACAAGTGATTTACACAAAAATTCAAGGAAGGGTCACTTGGAATCCCTATACCCCCCAAAATATCCCCCCAAACCCCTTCACCCCCTTTCCTGGGGAGACTTGAGAATAATATACCAACCAATTGCCTTAGCAATGTGAGCACAGACCAGACACTTTGTTTCAGGACACTGAAATCAACCAGGTTCTTAAAAGAAGTAAAAGAATCACACCTGCAAAATGAGGATGGAAGGTAACTTTACAGGGTAATAAGATTTAAAAATAGAGGATTCCCCTCCGGGCTCAGCTTCAGTTACAAAAAAACAGGAATACTACTACCTTTCTAGCATAGGGAAATTCACAAGCCCAAAACAAAAGATAACTTAACACATTTCCTTGCCCTACTTACAATTTATATGGTTTTAGATGGATTATTCCAGGTGTATTTTTCAGGAGATATTGTACCTGCTTGGCTTCTCCCTCTGTCCGGAGAGGGAACAACAAAAGAGAACAAACAAATCCTTCTCCCCACACCAGATTTGAAAGCATCTTCTTTCCTCATTGGTCCTTCTGGTCAGGTGCCAACTAGGTTATTTGAATTGCTTAACCCCTTACAGGTAAGGCAGTTGCTACACTTCCCTCTATTTTCATGACAGCTGCTAGCTGCAGTAGAGCAGAATGAGAATTAGAAATAGTCCAAATGGCAAATATGAGACGAGATGAGCCCTACTAGAGGTTGTAATTACCCAGTAAATCTCCAACATTACATACATTATGTTCACCCACAAGAGAATATATTCAGCATGTGAAAAAGGTTTTAGCAATATACATTTGGAATAGTTATATTACACAAGTGGCACAAAGGCTAGTGAGCATGACTAGAGAATTGGTCAGATAATCATTCATGAGCTTGGGACTGGGCTTTGGTATGGAAATTGAGTGCATATGGGCACATATGAAATGTGCACTTGCAAAACGTAGGAGCATGGTACTGGATTTTAAGTTAAGTGTCATTAGTATGGTGCTCGAGATTTTCATGTCCGTTAGTAGTTTTCCTTACCAGGTGCTGCAGATTAAATCTACGGAGATTAGGAAGTGGGAGGAGTGCTCCACAGGAAGGAACTGGAAAGCTCAAGAGGCTAGTTATGGGATATAGAACTTTCCATCTCTAAATTGTCAGCTCACATCCAGGCCAACTTTCTCAGCCATTTCCACTGACATAAAATTCTCTCCAAGGCGGCACTGAACAACTACAAATCACTACTTTCAGCAAATCTCTCTTTGCAACAGCATTTCCACAGTATACTCCTCCCACCCACCCCAGCCATGCTAGTAAAGGAGAATAGGAAGAGAAGACATGGAAGCTTACTTATATAATTCTGTCAGGCATACTGATACATTATAATGTTCACTATAAAACTACCTAGAAAGTCTGTCAGTGCCAACATCTCTTAAAAATACCCATGGCTATTTGGATTGTGATTAGATAAAATATAAATATTGAACTGAGACTAGAATGAACACTTGATGGTAACCATCTCAACAGGAATTTTAGCTTGATCATTGTGTCTGAATTCTGCCGTGATAATGTACTCATGGCCAGAGAAGTTTTGTGCTTCATCCTCTTTCCCAAGATTTCAAGGGTAAAAATCTTTAACTCTCTGAGGTCAATAAGAGTTTTGCCACAGTCTTCACTGGGATAAGGAATTCACCATGTTTTTCCTTCTGCTCTAAAAGCAACAATTTGAAGTGTTGTCACAGGAGAGGCCTGATCCTGGAAACCTTACTTAGGAGTTCTATTGACTTATTAGAGCTAATCATGTAAAGATTACATAAGTTTTCTGAATCAAAGTTTTCTAAGCTATATCTTACACATTTACAGTTTGTCATTGTTTGTCAAATCAAAACTACATATTTATGGATTTTTCTATACTGAAATTAATATGGGAATTTTTCTATATACTGGCTCATCAGTTCAGCAGCCTATCCATTTGTCTAATATACAGAGCTGGCAAAGAAGCACTTCCAAGTCTGATAACTGACAGAAATCAAGGCACAATTTTTTCCCCCCTTCTTTCAGCACAGAGGCCAACAAACTTGTTATCCAGTTTTCTCTGCTGTGGGTTTCTGAAAATGTTATACAACTAATTTCTAGTTAGGAAAACATTTGAGGTTGAATTTACAGACTTATCAATTGATACCTAGAACAGAGATTTTTCTGCTAACATCACATTTCTCAGGGAGACCAAAATCAGAGCGGGGACTCATCATTCTTGTTTTATTTCAAAATGAGCTCTACAATGTAGCTAATGGGGGAAATGAGTATTTAATAAATAGGATTTTTTTTTAGTATATGAAGCACATTGGATAAGAGTTTTATGGGCAGAAAATTTAAGATATTTAAAGCCCTTCTGAAGTGAATACTGCAGTAATGCCAAAACAAATACATGGGGATACTGTTCCTTTCACAGAACACACAGCTCAGTCATGAAGTTCTAAACACAAACAGAATGAGCCTTTTGTCAATGGGATCTTTATGTAGCAACTGCAGTATCCAGCCTGTACTAGTGAATTACTACCTATTTATTACACACATAATATATGACGTTCTCTAGAAGAGTATAAATTTATTTTTAGGCCATCAGCCTATTAACATTCAACTTAACTTTAAGGAGTTAACTGCTTTTAGAAAGGACCACCATCTGCTAAATAAACAACATGGCTCTTACATACCAGCTTATCTTCTGCTGTTGAGGTATGCAGATCACCACTGGGTTAGTTTTTTAAATCAAGACACTTAATATTTGTACTGGCCCATTTCATATTTTTGACTCATTTTGCTTCTTATCTTCTCTCTTTAGCTGGTTGGCATACTGCTGGTTCTACAGCCTCTACAGAGAGACTCATGAAACCTGAACACCAGCATTTCTTTCTTATATAATATTTTAAAATGCCTCTCCTTTCCTCTAAATATTTTATACCTAAAATTAAACTATAAAAGGACAAGAGTTCTGGCCCTCTATGTACATAAAGCAGAAACACCTTTTTCCTCATAGATTTAATCTAGATTCAATTGTAAGCAGCATTCCAGATATGAAATTAATAAGTGAAAGGATGTGGTGGCATTTCAAAAAGCTACATTCACTAACTTATCAGATGAACTTTACAAAGAGCAGAGGACATTAGCTGGAAAGCCTCTTTTTCTGATTAGAAAATATTAAGTGTACAAATGGTTGAATAAAGTCACATTTCAATACAAAATGTTTGTTTATACAAAATAATTCAGGAATTGCATAGAAATTACATCAGTTATCTTAATAAAATATTACTATGACCATTTACATCTGTTTTTGCTAGTCCCCAATAACATGACACTATGCACAATGGGCTACCAAAGAACAACTGTATCTTAAATGAAATTACATATGTTAAAGAAAATTATGGCATGCACAATACAAAATTCTTATAAAATTAAACATTTATATTAATCCAAACAATTTAAAATTCTTGCTCCAGTTATATCTGAATTTACATACAAAAATATAGATGTCTACAACATTTGAAAAAGCTCCATTGGATAACACCAAAATTCACTTATTTAAACTTAAAAGATAACTTAAGACCAGAAAAAAGCAGTAAGAAATGTAAACATTTATCAAATAACATGGTAGAAAGTTTCTTTATGGAATATTTCCTGTATTTTGTTTAGTTAAAGTGCTGGTATATATGGTTATGACTTTATATTTTGCATAACCTGTATCATATGTTAAAAGAAATAGTAATATTAATGTGAGCTTCCAGTTTTAAAATTAAGAACTTAGCAGTAATTTGGACAATTTAAATTATATTACAATTATTTCTGTAAACAACTTTTTATAGCTGAATCTGTTGTACTGTTTTGACATTTCCTCTCTTCATCTTAAGTGAACTTTCAATTCTGAATGTATAAAAATACCTTTATTTCAATACACTGTAATTAGATTAAGTTCTGGTGAGAAGACGATCGTTTTAAACAAAGATATTTCTCTTGGGTAAAAGCAAGGACTTCCAAAATTTAAAAAAAATCCCAAAACCTAACTTGTCTATTAACTGCCGCCACAAAGTCTACTTATTTCTCGGTTATCAATTGATAGAAAAGAATAATGTATACATTACATAATATTAATATGTAGAGATGAGATAGTGGAGTCCCCTAATAACTAGGTAGCTCAGCTTGTTCATGCTTGAACACATACTGATATTAAAAACAATATCACATGGATATCAGTCTTTATAAAGAGAACAGAAAAGACTAGATTTTAACACATAAAAGGTTAAGGCCTGATCCTGAACACTTTACTCAGTTGGAACTTCCATTCACAGCAACAGGAGTATTAACCAAGTAAAGAGAGCATTATTGGACTCATTTGTCTGTTAAGTTGGATTTACTATACAAATTGCTTAAAATATTTTTTATTCCATCCTTTTGTTATAAAGGTATTTAAAATACAACATTTTACTACATATTAATAAAATGAGCATTTACATTATTTCAGTGTTCGATATTTTCTCTTGAATTTTAACTAGAAATTGTTTAAGTATGACAGGGTCCAAATGCACATTTGAGGAAGCATCTTGCAATTAACTAAATATCACAAAACTAAATGTCACAAATGAGACATCCACACTGAGGAGGATTCAGTCTAAGCTATGCAGACTTGAAGATCCAGGGAATAGTTTAAAGTGCCATTAACTTTCATAATATTTCAAAGAGCTTTAATTACTTCCATTCCCTATGTGAAAAGGCTCCAATTTTCACACTATTAGTGCTACTGTGGATACGATAGCTTGTCAGCATTTCCAGAATAAACTCAGTTTAGGACCTGATCAACATTTGCTCCAAGCTGGAACTTGGCATAATGCAGTGTTTTTTTCAGAGCCTCGGAACAAGAGGAATACAAAAAAAAAAATAAAACCCAAAACCCTGCCGTTTTTTTTTTTTGGAAGATGGAGAGTGCAAAACAGAAAATAGATGTGAATGTTTTCAAAAATTGATAGATTTAGATAACCAAAAGAGCTCTGAATTTTAATTCTGAAATTTTGCAGCCAATTTCTCAAGATCGGCATGAGTAAGTACTTTGGAGGAAAAATAGTTTGGTTGGAAAAATTACTATGCAAGCAAATTAACACACTCTCCATCCCACACCTATCAGCTTTTTAACACATCCTTAATGCAGATGAATGGTAGCTGCATGAGCAATAAAAGACTATATGGTGCTATTAGTCTCATCATCTCTGCTGTTTTTAAGAGGTATGTACACTAAACTATTATGGGTATTGGAATATTTATACTGTGCAATCAGTATTTCAATACAATCCATATATATATGGAGACTGACAACAGCTTCTTTGGAGCATGTACACTTGTTTCAACATGCACTTCAGTGCAAAACTTTTCACACTCTTACAGTTAGATTTGTTTATGAAGCAAGGATCTTCAGCAATAAGACTGACAACCTACCCTTATTCTATTCTAGTATTCCAGAAACATTCATGCTAGCATATTAAAAATACATGCCACATGCAGTATACAATCCACGTTTAACCAGTCAGCTAAGGCAGAAAGATTATCCTTAACCACAGCTAAACATTCCAAGTAAACAGTATTTGCTGAATGTGTTCAATACATCCAAATATTCCGCTGATTTTAAACTCTCAGTTAACAGATGGCACTGTCACTGCAGTGAAAGGCTGTCAGAAATTAGTTTCAATTTCTCTGCTTCAATCCATTATCAAGTCTTAGTCACAGAAATGTGCTTATGTTATTAGATCACTGTCTTGAGCACTTTTATAAGTTGTTTAACTAGAGTCCGTTTATTAACATTCACAACTTTTTATATTTTTATTCTCTATTATATTAAACGTTTTTTGGACTAAAACTTGAAAAGTGCAAATATATTCAACTAAATCACCTTCAAAACATAAGGCTCTCCCCTGATGCCAGAACTCCAGTTTCTCAGGAGTAAAAGCCATTGCCAGCAATGGACATGAAAGGAAGTACCGCATAAGAGGATCATTCGAAAGTGCATTTCAGTATAACCATGCTGCACGAATGGACAAGCCATAATCTCACAATATTCACCACTGGAATAGATTATAATCCTAAATTCAGTTCAGAGGACCTGCACAGCCAGCCATGTATTAACATACTAAGTCTGTCATGAAGTCTTGCAATGAATCATCAAATCGAAAACGTTTAGAGACTGTACTGCTGTCTTCTGGAATGTTTTCTTTATCTGCTCGGTCACCACAGGTACCATTGCAAATTGATTTAGTATTCCTTTCCTCTGAACACTTTGTTGTGTGTTCCTGCATTGGAGAAGGACAGGAAGATTCTTCAGGACTATGCAATAGTATGAATTCCCCCTGTTTCAGCCAAGAATGAGAGAGACAGGCCTCTGCTGTTGGTCTTTCCCTTTAAAAAAAAAAAAAAAAAAAAAAAAAAAGGCTGTTTTACTTAAATAAGTGAAAGCATTAACCTCTTATATGGAATGCACAGCTTATTTCACAAGTTTGGACATGTGAAAGGTGGACAGTCTTGGAGAGTGAAGTCTTAGCCCCACAACAGGTATTAATAAGGGCAACAATTTTACAGCGTCCTCAGATTGTTGCCTTCTTACTGCCAACACAACTACAGTAACTCCTCACGTAACGTTGCAGTTATGTTCCTGAAAAATACAACTTTAAGTGAAACGATGTTAAACGAATCCAATTTTCCCATAAGCTTTAATGTAAATGCGGGGGGTTAGGTTCCAAGGAATTTTGGGGGGGGGGGCAGACAAAAGGCATTATATACTGTACAGTACTATACTGTACTGTGGTGAGGAGGTGCCCCTGGCTTACCCCTGGGGCTCAGGGCTGGGGGTGCAGGGTCTCGGAGGGAGTTAGGGTGTGAGAGGGCGCTCAGGATGGGGGTGCGGGAGGAGGCTCAGGGCTGGGGCAGGCAGGAGGTGCAGAGCTGGGGCAGCTCCTGTTTGGTGCAGGGTGTGTGCAGGTGGCTCTGCGCAGCGCAGCACCTCCCCCATGGCCGCGATTCTGGGAGCTCCCCCCCGCAGGCAGGGCCACCTGGAATGCAGGGGATTTAGGGGCTGCAGGGCCCTGGGGGCCCCGGCCTGCATCTCTAAAGCCCCTTTCGGAATGCGGCCCTGCGAGCACGGGCCAGAGGACTCAGGAGGAGCAGGGGCAGTCGCGCAGCCAGCGGCCGGAGAGAAGCGGCGCTTTCTCCTTCAAAAGCACCGCTTCTCTCTGGCCAGCTTTGAAGGGGACAGCGCCGCTTCTCTCCAGCTATTGGCTGCCCCTGCTCCTCCTGAGTCCTCCAGGCCATGCTCGCAGGGCCGCATTCCAAAAGGGGCTTTAGAGCTGCAGCCCCTGTGTTCCGGGTGGCCTTGCCTGCTGGGGGGGAGGAGGGGGTTCCCAGCTAGCTCTCTCCCTCCCTCCTAGAAAGTCCTATGCGCCGCCAAACAGCAAGCGCTGGGAGGGAGGGAGGAAAGGAGAGGGAGGAGGCGGAAAAGAGGAACTTGTGCAATGCTCCCTTGTAAAGTCAGCCAAATGACTTTATAAGGGAGCATTGCACAACTTTAAATGAGTATGTTCCCTAATGGAGCAGCGATGTAACTTCGAAACAACGTTAAGCGGGAGGACGTTAAGTGAGGAGTTACTGTATAAAGGACTGCTTGGATTCAAATCTGGCTCAGGCTTCAGAATTGTTAACGAAAATGCAAATGCAGGGTCAAACTTTGCCCTCTGCATCTTAAGATCATTTACTTATAGGTAAAATTTGGCCAGCAGAAGTATTATTTACAATGCATAAGCAAAAAATACATTCAAGACCGAGTATGCGATCTGGCAGTTAGTTTATCTGCAAACTGAGCAAATTTGATTTGGAAGCCATGATGGCATTTTTTGAAGTAAAACTGCTTTTAAGCAAATAGCATCTTACTAAGCGGAAAAATCAGTTACAAACGGACATTACCACCAGTTAATCTGATTTACTGTCAGACTACCTGATAATTTTACAATTCAACATTTCAACAGAATTTCCATTATTGGGATCTCACTAGTCAAGTCAGATTTTCCATTTGAATCCAGCACATTCTAAATATTTACACCACATAGAATGTATCCATATGGAAACCAACATTTTTATGTTAAATGGTAACTGGTCTTATCACATTTATATTACAGTAGCAACTCAATCAGGATCAAGGCCCGGCTTTGCCAGATGCTTACAAACAAATAGAAAGATGCACCGAAGAATCTGCTACCTACTCTGGGTTTTTGACAAGGAGTTTTTGAATGAAGTCTCTGGCCAGGTATGAAACTGATGCAAAAGTTTCCTCTGAATAATCCACATTGATTTGAGAGATATTGAGGAAAGTTTCTTGATTATCAGCCCCCACAAATGGAGATTCTTGAGTTAGCAGCATATATGAGATTACACCAATATTCCTGAAATGAAACAAGATGTAATTTATCTTTCATCCTAAATTATATCACTGCTGCTATGGTCAGTGTTCTTTGTTATTTCACATTCCACAGGCAGCAAGAGAACCAAAGTATGCCACAGTTCTAAGCAATTTGATTACATATACATGCAATACCTGATGTGTATTTCTTAATGAATCATTCAGATCATTAAGTGAAAGTTGCTCGGCTACTTAAATCTGCTCCAGCCATTTCTTTCTTGCAGCCGCCATCACTCAATTACCTTCTACTTTGGAGGGTAGGCTAGAGTGTGTTTTCCAAAATCAACATTCATGCTTTGTTTTGAATTCATCAATACAGATACACACGAAGAACGTGGTTAGCAACCCACCTGATGTCCAGACACATCATTCCACAGTTATGTCACCTTTATCCCAATAGTACAAGAAAGCACTAAAGGGAACCAGGAGCATTCAATCTCTTTAATACAAAAGTTATTTAGCATAGAACTACACTACAGCTGGGTAATAATGGCTTTCAGTTAACTAGCAACCCCAATAATAAAAAAAAAAGTTTAGGTTCAGGTTTAAAAAAAAAAAAAAAAACCCACAAAATTTGTCAGCAAGTCAAAAAACTCAATGTTTGGTTTGATCTGTCTCAGTTTCTCCTTTTGAATTCGGGTATTTTAAGAAAAAGGAAGGGAAGACTCACAAATCAACCAAAACCTCTAGCCCAGTGGTCCCCAACCTTTTCCGTGGGGCGGGCGCCGAACGACTAGCCTCTGAGGACCATGGCCGCTGGACAAGCAGTCGCCGAAATGCCGCCGTGAAGCGGCATTTCGGCGGCTGCTTTTCCGGCGGCCAGAAGGCGGGCGAACATGGATGCCCCAGCGGGCACCATGACCTCTGCAGGCACCACGTTGGGGACCCCTGCTCTAGCCTATAGAGTCATTCTCAAACTTGCTCATGCACAGTGACTATGAATTGCCACTATGGCAAGGTCTGGAGGTCAAGATTGTCCTTACCACAAAGTTGAGTCTTAGTGCTGTGGAAATAGAATGCCTAAAGGAAGCTTCTTCCTGACTGGGTAATATTACCACTACTTTCTACCCCAGGTTATGGAGCAATTCCTCAGTAGTTATGACACTGCCTTGCCAGAAACTGGATATTCATTTCCCCGATTCAAAAGGACTGTGTAGCTGAATTAAGGGATTGCTATAGATCCAATACCCTACCATGTTTAAAAGATGCACCTATTTTAAATACACCGCTACCTCGATATAACGCTACCCGATATAACACGAATTTGGATATAACGCCGTAAAGCAGCGCTCGGGGGGGGGGGGGGGGCAGGGCTGTGCACTCCGTGGATCAAAGCAAGTTCAATATAACGTGGTAAGATTTTTTGGCTCCCGAGGACAGTGCTATATCGAGTTAGGGGTGTATATCTTGCAGGAAAGAGAAACTCTTTTGCTCTTTATTCTTAAAATAAGAGCAATTTTCTCTTTTTTTTTTTTTTTTTACTTCCCCATTCTAAATACAATTTTTACAGCAAATCGCATACCCCTGTAGTTCACATTTTACCTAGTTTTGGAGGATACAGTAAATGTATTTGACCAATAGCCAGCTACTGTTCTGGCATGGTATGCTGTCAAAGGCAATCTGTTCCTACTGTTCTAGCACACCTTTCCAGACCGTTTTGGAGCACTAGAAGCTCCTGGTACTGTTGTTGCTGTCCTGGGATCCCCATGAACTCCAGCTCCAAGGCAGAGGGTCTCACTTGGTTCCAAGGCAAGGAGGGAAGCTGCCCTCTTCTTAATAGACTTATGGAATGTTTTCCCCTCCCTCCTGTGAGTGGGTCTTCTCCTTATCCTCATCTTTTGAGAGGAGCCCTTGTGTCTGCTGGAGTGTTCCATCAGAGCACTACTCAGCAGCTCCAGTCAACAAGATCCCAAGGCTTCATGGTGAGCTCCATCGGGTGCTTGCGAAGTCTGAACTCCTAGGACTGCTTGGTGCAGGGACAGGAGTGACAGATGTCACACCTTAATGAGATGTGCGACTCCCCCAGGCAGCAAAGGCAGCTCTTGTGTGGTTCACTTACTAGGATGTCCCAAAGGCAGGAAAGGTAAGACTTGAAGCCTAGACCTTGGGCATAAGTGCCTCAAACATTGGGGGATTAGTGAAAGTGGGAGGAAGAACCTCTGATCCTCATGATCTAAACGATGACTATACACTAAATATGAAACTTAACTAACAAAACTTAACTATACCCAATATTTTTTACAAGAATGTTGAACCGGCAAAGCTACAGGAGGTTCCATCCCAGACCACCAAAGGTAGAAAAAGAACTGCAGAGGCAGTTGGTCTGTGCTGCCAATGAGGCCCTCGGTTCACAGCAAGAAGTGTAAGGTTCAAGTGCAGACCAACATACACTGCCACTGAAGAACTGTCAGTCCAAAGTGCATGGAGCATGTGTGCACCCATAGTTAATACCCATAGAGACCAGCTCTTAAAGAAGAAGGGCAGGAACCATGTACAAAAAATTTAAGAATCCAGACTGCAAGAGCATAACATTTTTAAATTTATGGTAGCAGTGGAAACCCATACTGCAACATAAAGATGCACATAAGGTTCCCACGTTGTTACTCATACAAATAGAAAAAATAAACTTGTTTTTCCAGTTTCATGGAGAGCTGTGGAGAATGTGGAAGACAGATACTTACTCACACAGACATATGCTTACAGTATCCTATTATTGAGATACAGTTAGGGCATGAAAAAATAAAGTTGAACTCCACACCATGTAGTTTATGAGAAAAAACAAAACAGGTGAGGTTTCTGGGTGTGAGGAAAGACTTCTATGCTAGGGCATATTTGGAATTGGCCATTATAAAAAAAAAATTGAAAAAAACCCTTACACAATGAAAAATTGTGAGGAAAGAGGTTGTTATTGCTGCCTTTAATGTGCTCCAGGCTCAGGAGCAAATTATAGGTAAAATAGCTTTACTGCCCATTATTTTTCTGGAGTTATGTGGAACAAGATCAAAATAAGAAGAACTTCTTAATATTCATGAAGATGTGCAGATTCAGTTAACTTTCTAGATTAAGAACTTTGAAAGAGAAAGAAGGGAAAGTGGGTGGAACTAAAATTCATAAATGTGAGATTTTTGGTACACATTCATGGGCAACGTTCTTTTTTTGGGAAAACATTTCATATGTATAGGAATAAGTCTGATTTGAGATATGAATGTTTACTCAATTCACTGTGTTCACGCCACCATTAGTAGTTCACACCACATTTTTAGTAGTTATAGCATGTTTTATAAGATACTAGATTGTTAGATACTAGTTTCAGTGTTTGATGGGCAATGTAAAGATTAATGTAGGCCTGAGAGGCCAATTAAAAATGGGCTGCACCTGCCAGGTGGGTTAGTGTTAACTGATGATGAAGCCCACCTGGAGAAATGCTGGGAGAGGACTATAATCAAAAGATGTTTGTAGCAGAAAGGAGCTGTAGGTAGAAAATGAGGAACTCTGCAGTCACTCTCTGGGAGGGGTCGTGATGAAAAAGTTCAGGAGCTGGCTAGCCCTAGGATCCTCTCCTGAGTAGAGCAGAGAAGTCTAGGAAGATGCCTGGGTAAAGACCCACCAACCACTTGAGTGGAGTAGACTCTGGGGGGAAGCCTTGACAAAGGCAGTATCTGGATTTCCAAGGAGAGCACCTTTGGAGATGTTCAGCTGTTGAACAAAGCAAGGGAAAGAGCAGAAGAGAGAGAGGAAAGATCAAGCCTGAGGGCAGGAATAGGTTTGAGTTTATAGTTTTAAACTGGGATTTATTGGGGGATTCCAGGGGAGAGCCTTGCAAAAAGGGTGAGATTAAAGAGGCTGCAGAGAGACCCGTTGACAGGCTCAGATAGGTAGCAGGGGGTGAGTTTGAATATAGACACAGCTATACTTATAACTATAGGGTCCCTGTGCTGAAACCCAGAGGAGAGGGAAGGCCCAGGTTCCACTATCAAACACCAGAGAAAGTGGTGCAAAGACCCTGAAAAGGAGATAAGGACAACCAGAAGGGTGTGATGACCATGAAGTGTAATGTTGGGGCTGAAAACCTTTTGTGACAACATTAGATTTTTATTTGTTGGACTCTCTGTACCCCAGAAAGGGTGGAGTTAAATCATGACCTGACGAGAGGGTTGATTCACGAGACAGGCAACAAAAGACTAGAACGATTATCGAGAGGAGGTACTAGACAAGATTGAGCTGCTCTGCCACACCCAGCCACAAGAAGTGCACTCTTCTACACAGTGCTACCAGGTTTATATTGTTTCTGCAGAGTGGGTATAGGGCTTGGAGTCCCTTGAGGAAACGCTTGGTGATTGGATGAGCAAAAACAGAGGTATCATCAATTTTGTCATGAAAGGTTGCAATAGCAGCTAAATGGACTCTGATGGAGCTGAAAGAAAGGCTGGATCACTTAAGGTCCAATAGGTAGTCAAGTATGAGCGAGAGAGATACAGACGTGGGACAAAGTTGTTTAGCTGAACACCATTGTGTGAATCGTTTCCACTTTCGTAGATAGGTGGTGCGAGTAGATTGTGTTCTGCTATGTAGGAGCACTCTTTGAACTTGTTCAGCGCAATCTAGTTCATTTTGGGAGAACCATGTAGGAACCAGGCTTTGAGGTGAAGCATGGACAGGTTGGGGTGGAGAAAATCGGCCATGTTGCTGTGATAGGAGGTTCGGGATGAGAGGCAACGAAACTGGTGGTCGAATCGACATTCTGGTGAGGAACGGAAACCACGGTTGTCTGGGCCACGATGGGGCAATCAGGATCACCTTGGCACGGTCTGTTCGTATTTTTATCAGGACCCTGCTGAGAGCCGGTATCGGAGGAAAAGCATAGAGTAAGTTCCGGTGCCATGGGATCATGAATGCGTCTCCCAGGGAATGTTTGCCCAGTCCCTCTCTGGAGCAAAAGTCGGGACATTTCGTGTTTTTCGCAGTTGCAAAAAGGTCTATGGTTGGGTAACTCTAAATGCGGAATATGTTGTGAATGGTTTTCTCGTCTATCTCCCATTCATGGTCCCAGGGAAAGGGTCTGCTTAATTCGTCCGCTGTGGTGTTCATCACTCCGGGAAGATAGGCCGCTGATATCCGGATGTTGTTCGCCAGGCACCAATTCCAGAGCTTCATAGCCTCTGTGCAAAGCGAGTGGGAGCGAGCGCCTCCCTGCCTGTTTACATAGAACATGCAGGCAATGTTGTCTGTCATTATGCGTACATGGCGATTCCTGATTAGTGGGAGGAAGTGACGGCACGCATTGCTTTTGGCTCGAAGTTCTAGGACATTTATGTGCAGGGAGGTTTCGGTTGAAGACCATAGCCCCTGGACTGTGTGGTGAGACATGTGTGCACCCCATCCTGTCATGTGTGCATCAGTAGTCAGTATGAGGGATGGAGCCTCCTGAAGAAAGGGGACTCCAGAGCAGAGGTTGGAGTGAACTGTCCACCACAGTAGAGAATCTTTGACTCGGAAAGGTATGGAGAGAGGCTTGTTTAGAGTGCACATTCGGTCTGTAAACCGTGCCCAACCACGCTTGGAAGCACCTCATGTAGAGTTGTGCATTTTGGACCACAAAAGTGCACGAGGCCATGTGACCTAGTAGTTATAGACAGTCTCGGGCAGTGACCTGGGGACTGTTGCAAAGTTTTGTGGCCAGTAGGCTTATGGAGTTGAAGTGATCGGGTGGGAGAGATGCCAATCCCGTCCAGGAGTTTAGGTATGCTCCTATTAACTCCAGATGTTGGGTGGGGCACAATGTGGATTTGTTTTTGTTTGTTTTCTATCTCTAGGCCTACAAATAATTGACGGTAAGCCGCATGAATCGGAGAGCTTCGTCGAACGTTGAAGCTTTGAGGAGGCAATCGTCGAGGTAAGGAAATATTACGACCCCTTGTTTCCTGAGGTCGGCAGTGACTACGGCTAGGATCTTGGAAAAAACACGGGGGGCTGTGGACAGTCCGAAGGGGAGAACCCTGTATTGAAAATGTGTTAAGCCAAGGGTAAAACGGAGGAAGCGTCTGTGGGCCGGGTGTATAGTCAAATGAAAATAGGCATCCTGTAGGTCAAGGGCTGAAAACCAATCGCCCTGCTCCAGCGCTGGGATTATGGTGGTGAGAGTAACCATCTTGAACTTTTGCTTTTTGACAAATTTGTTGAGCCGCCTGAGGTCGAGGATCGGTCACCATCCCCCAGTTTTCTCTTCTGTTAAGAAATAATGGTAGTAAAAACCCTTCCCTTTGTGTTGTTCGGGCACAATTTCTATTGCTCCCAGTTGAAGGAGATGTTGCACCTTGGAGGAGCAGTTGCTCGTGAGAAGGATCCCTGAAGAGGGAGGGGAGGGTGGGTGGGTGGGAGGCAAGGAGAGGAAGGGGATGGGAGTAGCCAATTGTAACGACCTCTACAACCCACTTGTCGGTGGTAATGTTCTGCCATTGATGGGAGAATGGTCGTAGGCGGTGTCCAAAAATAGGTGTACTGGCTGAAGTGGGAACACTGTTTTCTAAACCCTCGACCAAGGCTTCAAATTTGCTTATTAGTTGGAGGGGGTTGAGGCACCCCCGCAGAATTGGGATGACGATGCTGGAATCTCAGTCTCTGGCGTTGCTGTTGCTGCTCTTGTGATCTATGGAAGTGTTGTGTATATGCGAGGTAGCGTGGGCATTGGTAAGGTTGATATCTATATTGTCGCCTTCTGGTCGTAGGTGTTTGGAGTCCTAAGGACCAGAGGGTTGCCCTTGAGTCCTTCATTGAATGAAGCAAGTCATTCGTGGTGGAAGCAAAGAGTTTTTCACCATCAAAGGAAAGATCTTCAATGGTACTCTGGACCTCTCGAGGAAAGAAAGAAAGAGGAGAGCCATGAACCTCGGCGCATGACCACTGCTGTGGTGGTCGATCTTGCTGCAGCATTGGCTACATCGAGGGCCGCTTGAAGAGCGGTACGTGATATGATTTGTCCCTTGGAAACCAGAGCTGTGAATTGTTGTTTCTTCTGCTCTGGAATGTCATCAATAAAGTCCATGAATTTATTATAGTTTCTGTGGTCATATTTTGCAAGAACTGCAGTATAATTAGCAATACGAAATTGTAACATTGAGGATGCATATACTTTATGACCAAAGAGGTCCAAGCGTTTACTTTCCTTGTTGGCCGGGGTGGACCGGGAATACTGTTGTTTGGTCCTTTGGTTCGCTGCGTCTACTACCAACGAGTTTGGCACCGGATGGGTAAAGAGGAATTCAGAGTCCTTAAAAGGGATGAAGTACTTTCGGTCCGCTTGTTTACAGGTAGGTAGGCTTGTAGCTGGAGTCTGCCAGATGGACTTAGCAGGTTCTAAAAGGGCTACATTGATTGGTAATGCAACCCTAGAGGAAGAAGAGGGCTGTAGGATGTCCGTTAACTCATGCTGTTGTTCAGGGACTTCCTCCAAGTTAATTCTCAAGTCACTGGCAACTCTTTTAAAAAGGTCTTGGAATTTTGAGAAGTCATCCGACGATGTTGGAGGAGGGGGAAGTAAGGCTTCTTCAGGCGTTACCTCCGGCTCTACTGGGATAGGAGAAGGATTTGGTTGATCCTGCAAGTGTGACGGTGCTGCCTGGTGTCTTGTGTCATTGGTAGGTTCGTCAGGTGGTGGTACTAGGCAGGTGTTGCGCCTGGTTGAGGTGGAGTAGCGCGTGTGTTCGAGGGTACGATGCCCATAGGGCCCAATATTGCCATGGTGGTGGGTAGGGCATAGGTGGTGCCATCCAGGGGTTCACGCCCCAGGGGGCAGGATCCTGAGAATAGGATGAGGTAATTTTTCTATGACCTCCGTTGACTGGGATCTGGGAATGTGAGTCTTGATACGGTGAAAAATCCCCCTGTAGTCCAGCTTCCTCCTCACTGGAGGAAGGCTGTTCAGACCCTGACTCAGTCCCTGGAGAGAAGCAGGCATTCAGCAGGGGTGACTGCAGGATAGGTGACACAAACAGATCTTTTGCCTGAGTGAATTGCAGTGCTGAGGCTCCTGTGAGAGGTGAAGGCTGTGCAGGAGGAAGTTACAGTGAGGAAACATTCCTCTGAGCCGGTGTTTTGAGTCTTGGCTCACTGCCAGTCAGCTCAGTGGGTGTCGGTGCTGTGACCGGTGCCGGGAGAGCAATATCAGCCTGCGGGGGAGTCAGGCAGGTTGTGGAATGTCGGCACCGCATTCGTCGTGGTGCCGAATGGTGCCAGAAGAGAGGCAGGCAGCTGGAAGCCTGAAGCCTCGGCACTGGAGTTTCGCGCTGCCACCGCAGCCTCAGGCAGGTTTCGCGTGGTGCCGGAGGAGCCCGGCTCATCAAAAGTGCTCAGGCGGGGAAGCACAGGCAGGGAAACAGTAGATCTGCCTGAAGCAATTTTATGTCTCATGACTTTCTTTGGTGACGAAAGCTGCCCTTTTTTTGTTGTTTTGTTGAGCTTCTTTGAGGCGGGGGGGCTGTGGCGGGCAGCAGAGCTGGCATCAGCGCCATGGTCTGAAACTGACCCCAGAGATTTCTGAAGTAGGAGCAGTTTGAGTCTGAGCTCCCTGTCCTTCCGTGCCCTGGAGCTAAGTTTGCTGCAGTAGGCACATCTTTGGGCAATCTGGGTCTCCCACAAACATTTTATACATTGTGAGTGGCCATCTGACAGAGGGATAGCCTCCCTGCATGTAGAACAGCGCCTAAAGCCTGTGGAGCCAGGCATGTCCGAAGCGGCTGCGGCTGACTGGAACGATTTTTTTTTTTTTTTTAAACAGACAGAAGTGGTAACTAACTATAACTAACAACGAACTAACAACAAACTAACTAACTAGAAGGCAATTGTAACCAGAGGAAAGAATTTCTTAAGGAGTCTGCTGAGCTCTGTCTCAGGCCGGGGACGGTAGAGAAGGAACTGAGGAGACCGGCCATGCATGCGTACTATTAAGCTAGACTCAGAACTGGGGGGGCAGGCTCTGCGCATGCGTGGCCGGTACGAGTACTGCTACAAAAGTCTCCGAGCAAAGGCGCAGGGACGCACCAACATCTGGAGTGGAGCGCCCACAGGGACATCTCTCAAAGAAGACGACTGAGCTGCTCTGCCACACCCAGCCAGAAGAAGTGCACTCTTCTACACAGTGCTACTAGGTTTATATTGTTTCTGCAGAGTGACTTTTAAATGAAACAAATCTACAGTGCTTTAAATGGAAAGAGTGGAAAATTAACATTTTGGCGAAAGTGTTCCTGCCATAGAAGATAATGATGGAAAAGTAAAGAATTTGTTAGGAAAAAAGTGTGCAAGAGTAGCTGATATCTGAATTATTTAGTGTCCAATTTCTTTAAGCTTAGTTACTATTATCTTTAGAAGAAATAAACTTACCACATATCTGCAGCCGTGGTAATAGGATCATAGTTTAAGATTTCTGGAGCTGGGGGGAAAAAAAGTGATAGCCTTGAATGCATGATTAAAAATATGTAATATGCTATGTCCTATCCAAACATTTGTCATTCTCTGGATTTTTGGCAATTTTATACTAAACTTCAAGACTATAGGACTAAACATGTAGTTTGTATAGTGAAGTTTATATTGCTATTATATTTCACTACAAGACTGAAGATGAAGGAAATAAATGGCACATCTCTGAAGAGCACTAAAATCACTTATGGATTGGCAGTTGCTTACACACAGCAGGTTTAGAGTTGTAAGACTAGACAGGAAGCTTCTTTTACAGCCACCTGACCCATTTACATTTAGACAGTTCAATTCTTTGCTGAACCAGAGAGATGGAGCTATTTTAAACACAAACATTTCAGTGCACTCCCACTATGATGCTACTTGCTAAATCAGTTTGTGACTTGTCCTGTATCCATATTAGTGCTGTTCTAAACCAGTTCAGCCGCAATGCCTTCTAGGTGCCTATACCAAAGTTCCTGGTACTGCTCCCAGAGCCAAGTACTCTATTGATACCAAAAAGGTCACTACAATAGTGTGGGACAGCAGTAAGGAGACCTGATGGACACATCGGCTTGTCCACAGCCACAATAGCACTGAATTGGTTTTTAGAACTGCTGAAAGTCTAGTCTACTTCAGCCAATTCTTAGAATACTTATAAATTGGTTGAAACATTTTTGTTGAGACCAAGCATTCTAAAGAGTTAAACTGATTCGAGTGATAATTTTTTTCTTTACATAAATAAGATCTTAGGCTGAACATAAAAGGACTGGCCTATACAAGGAAGTTTCAAATATTCTAACCAGTTTTAAAACTGGTTTAGCTAAAGTGATTTTAAAAGTCAGTGGAGTCACAGCATAGAATGGGTTCCAAGCAGCCTTAACTGTTCACTACAGCTTCACTGAACCAATTTTAAAGACAGAATTTGAAGCAAGTTTCCTCAGAGAAGTAGATCTTAAAAAAAATCTGGGTGTTTCCCCTCCACAGGATAGTTTAATCTTACTGATCAGCTTCATCAGAATGCACACCTAACATAAAAAGTTGTCCATCTTTCTCCACCACAAGAATTTAATAACAGATGCTTCCACTCATCTAATATTAAGATTTTTAAAAGATATAATAAACTAGTAGTGCACCGTAGAATTAAATTAGAGCTAAACCCCAATTGACTGTATCTATAAGTTACATTAATCTTGTTTTAGTGTTTGCTCAGTTTAATGAAAATTTTGCATATTAGCATATATTTGCATTGGGCCACCTAGTCAGAGAGAATTAGCAAGGTTCTAATTATGTAATTTCTCAAAATTAAACACAATTTTAAAAAGCAAACAGTACTTTATATACCACTTCTGTTTTCAGTGCTCAAATATTTTTAACTTTTAAAAAGAAAACAATTAAGTCTCACCTGCTCTACACACTACTAACAACAACAAAAAACCACTCAAAATACAACATGTGGCCACCATTAGCAGACAAAACACACTAGGTACAAGAGACTCAGGAGTTGAGCTTATATAGCACTGTATATGTCTAGCTTTCAAATTCAGTGAACTACTGTTTTCATTTGCATACAGGAATTTAAAAAGGAAATAGCCCTTTCATACCTAGATATTCTGTAGTTCCTATGATTTGCCGCAGTTCACTAGCATTCTCGATCTTCCGAGACATACCAAAATCTACAATTTTTACATCACCAAGAGGATTGAAACTGCTCAGCAAGATGTTCTGGGGCTAAATGAAGAAAGATGAATATTTAGTCTTTAAGGCATAAATACGCAAGTATGATTTAAATGGTAAACAGTGTATACCAAAGTGACATTTAGGTTATATTTAAGCATTCTGTTTTTGTTGCTAATGCCTTTTTAAAACAGAGTCCACAAAAAGCATTTGTGATGCCCATCTTTAACATTCTCTGACCAAAGCCAGACCCTGACATCTGCAGCTCTTATGTTGTTGCTAAAAAACACAAATGTGGAAGACTAATATTTTACGCAGATAGTACAATCCACTCCAAAGTCACACTCTCTTATGAGGAACAGGAGAATAATCATTTTCAAGAGAACACTTAAATTGTGGCATGCTCAGAATCCCTCTGCAATTATAGCTGCATTTTTCCATGTTCTGTCAGATAATATTTATTGTAAAAGTTTTTCAGTTGCCAAGATAAAGCCATTAGAGTGTGAACACATGCTGTTGCCCTGTTAACCCAGCCTTGCAAAAAACTGTCTCAAATAGTAGTAGCAGATTCCTTTCATCTCAGTGACAGATGAACTTCAGAGGCCTGACTAGGTCCATTTAAATACTACAGTTAAGTACAATTAATTTCATATAAAAAGGGATATATAATAAAAAAACTCTACATTACTGAAGAGTTCAGTTTTCACATCGATAAAATTGACAGTTTGGAAATACAAGTGCTAGTTCCTACATCAGTGTTGACTTGGTCAAGATACACAGCCTGTAAAAAACAGAGTCACAGAGACATTGATACCTGGGAGACACTTGCTTAAAATGGAGTGAAGTCCTTGCTCGCCAACAAGCCGAAGAGGACAAGAGGCGCAGGAGGAAGGAGAGACTGTCTGAGCCTGAAAACATCTGCCCTCATTGTAATAGAACTTGTGGTTCAAAGATTGGCCTTATTAGCCACCTGAGGACCCATAACTCCCATGGAAGATTATCATACTCGGTAACAAGTGATCACCCATCATCATCATCATCCAGCCTGTTTTTGGTTTTTAATCACAATGTATTAACTGGAACATTTAACAAGAAAATATTACATACAGTAAAATTAACTTGGCTATATTGAACGTAAGAACCTTGACTTTGCATAGGATACTGTCATTATGTGCATTTCTAAGGTGCCTATATCTACTGTACATGTGCTAAGATGCAAGTAATTAATCACACCCTAATACACATCTTAAAACTGCAACAGTTATGCCAGTGTACTTCCATCACATCTTCCAAAGTGTTTTGATGTAGCCATATCCCACACCTCCTTTTTATACAGACTTGATTTTACTGCCGACATATTGAATCAACCAGCAGAACGAAAAAAGGTAATTTATTGGAATACCATGTCTAATTTTACCTTTAAATCAAGATGCACAATACTGTTTTCATGCAGACAGCAGAGTCCTTCAAGTATTTGTCGAATAAGTCTGATAATATCATTTTCTTCAATTCTCTCATAAAAGTCAGGAACACACAAATTAAAGATTTCACCTCCGGCAGCACTGAAACAAGAAGATAAATATACATAAGCCACATTAGATGTACTAAACTTAATCTTTTTGACATAAATGTCAAATTTAAGAAGAGTATTAGAGTAGTAAAACTGCCAAAAGGGCTTTACAATTTAAATTATTGCACATTTAAAGAGAGGCTGTTGAGAAAGTTAAAAATCCTAAAACTTTATGGTATTTTTAATGTATTCATCAGCCTGTTGTTCTACACACAAAAAAAAAACTGTTATAAAATGCAAACAGGCAAAGACAAAAAGGAATTTCATAGTAGGAAATGTGTGTTGAGATTTCCAAGTGGAAGGTGTGGCTAAATTCCTTGCACTGATCTGAAAATTTCAACCCAGGTTTCTAAAACTTTTACACGAAGTCGCAGGATGATCATCTTCAGTTCTCTTCCAGCCCTCCACAAAAGGGTTTACTTCACTGAAAGTCAAAACAAAGAGTCTCCTGAACAAGGCAAAAGCTTCAATTAAACCAGTTACTAATGCTAATCCTAGCTGGAAATTAACAATATTCTTGCTGGTTGAACTCCTTCAGGGGCAAAAACATTGCAGTCAATCATTCAAAATACATTCAAGAAGAGCCTCTAATGAAACAGAAGGAAATCTTGGTGGTAGAAGAAAGTGAAAAAAATACCACCCATGTTGGGCTGTTGGTCCCACTGAGAAAGAACTAGCGATAGAGTCACTAGGAAAGAAGTCTAGTAATGCTGTGGTACTGGTGTGAAATCTTATTCCTTGGTCAAGGTTGCTCAAGGTCAATGAACTAGCACCCTCGCTGAGAAACCCAGCAAATAAAGGTCTAGAAAAAAGGGAGTCAATGAAAAACGACTGAAAAATGACAGCATAAGGCACCTCCAAAGGAGAGGATTTTTTAAAATAAAAAAATCAAGTGATTTTTCCAAAGCTATAGTGGAGATATCAGCAAGCAACATTCCAAGAAAACTTATCTAAAAGGAAGATTCATAATCCTTGCCATGCCTTAAACCATTCGTCTAAAGCAATGACTTCTAGCAAGAGCCCTTATGTCACGTGGTGCTCAAATATTCTCACTATGGATCACTTTAGAAGATCCTATCCAAGACCACCTATCCAGACATCTAAAATCTGCAACTGTACAATGCCTGTGTGCTACCACCACCATGTAAAAAATGTTTATGTGTACTCCATGTATTTTTCTGGATTGCACACTATTCAAAAACCTGAGATTTTGTTAGATATAAAGTTTATTTAGGTTTTGGCAAACCAGATCCATGCTTTCCCTGAAGCAACTATACCACTTTGTTCTATGAAAATAAAACCAACCACTGGGATAGCATAAAGGAAACAAGATGCAAATAAAGTTAAATAAATGTGATGCATGCAGTTTCTTGGTTACAGCATGCACTTTGTATCTGTGTCATTGTTTCCTTCTCCATGCATGTACAGCTTGAAATTAGCACTGAATCTCTCCTCAGTCCCCTCTGTTCTACTCTCTCTAATTTGAGATGAATGATGAATTTTAAAAATAAAATAAATAAATAAAAGAGATGGATTTGAGGATAAGCCTCTATAGCTGCCAGGTGCACTCTAAGTAAAATTAAGTAGCTCAAAAGAGAAAACTGAGGAATATACAGGCACTTTTTATCTGCTGTTTGCTTGTATTATTAAATATGAACTTAACAGATGTATATGAACGATACACATTGTAATATTTTAGATAATATTGACTTCTGGTAGCCTACTTCCTAGATTCAGAAGATCGTGTAGCACCTAGAGCAAAAAATTGAAGATTCTCATCTCATAGGCTGCCAAAAACCTTGCTGCTAGGTGAAGAATTTGGCTCCACTTCCAAAACGAAAGGTCCAGGCACCCTGGAAAGAAGGATAGTGTATTAAACACTAAAATTGATGATTCCAAGCCAGGGTCTGGGGACAAGATGAGCTTCATCTTTCTGTTGACTCAAAAATATAAGGGAAGGCATATCAATACATGACTCTAGTCTAATATGAATGCTTCTGTCAAGAAGTCTGGACCCTGTTACCACTGGAGCAGCAGAGAAGAGATGTGGTGTTGTCCCTGAAGGATAAAAGATCCACTCTGGATATCTCATTTTCTCAGTATGATATTCACGAATGAAGTTACAAACCACTTGTGCACCATTTGCAAAAGATGCCTTCTCTTTGGGTGCAAAGTGGAGGAACCTGCCAACAGATCTCCAACACAGATGACAAGACTAATGACCCTGCTGCAGGGTTGTTGAGGAAACGTTCAAATCCCTGTTACAGCACTCTGTAAAGATTGCCTAAGAATCGGCATCCCCTTCTTTCTCTATTTGGAATGGAGTGGGGAGAAGGTAGAAACTACAGCTCAGTATACAGTCCCATGTAACCTCAATATTCAGGTCTTCTGAAGACTGCCAAGATCCTCCAAAATAAAAGCAAGGACCCTCAGGGTATGTCTACACTGTAATTAAACACTTGTGTCAGCTGACTTGGGCTCGCAGGGCTCAGGCTGCAGGGCTATAAAATTGCAGTGTAGACATCCAGACTTGGACTGGAGTCTGGGCACTAGGACCCTATGAGGGGGACAGGTCCCAGAGCCCGGACTCCAGTCTGAGCCCACACATTGCAGTTTTATAGCCTCACAGCCCAACTCAGATGTCACAGGCCAGCCATGGGTGTTTACAGTGTAAACAGGGTATAGGGCACACTCAGAGTATGTTTATACTGCAATTAATGTAAGCCCAGGGGTAGAAGAATTCAAGCTAGCAGAACCTAGGGCTCAAGTGTCTATACTCAATTGTAATCCCAGGTTAGGAATTGTTGAAATCTAGGTCCCAACCTGGGACTCTAGTTTCTACACTGCATTTGAGTGGAATAGGGCAGAAGTAGAGGAATGTGAGAGTGAGGGGAGGGGGATGGAAAAGAAAAGGGGATAGTGGAATCATGGGGGGAAGTGGGAGCCTGGCATGCGGTGCCCACTTAGCAGCAGATGGGATTCCCCTGTTAAGCAGGCCCATCAAACCCTCACCCGTCTTACCCCGACACCCAGAACCCCACCCCACTGAGCTCCAACCAGCTGCACATGGACCCCCACCCCATCAAGCCTCACTCCCCCAGCACCAGACCCTCCCACTGAGCCCCTCCACACCCAGAAACCCCCCACCAAGCCTCATCTCCCCACACCCAGACCTCCCCTGGCTGAGCCCCAACCACTTTCACCAGGATCCCCTGCAGAAACCCCACAACGAGCCCCTGTGCATCTAGATCTCCCACTGAGCCACCAGCACTCAGATTGCCCTACACAGAAACCTTTCACCCCCCACCTGGATCCCGCCACACTTGGATCCTGCTGGGCTGAGCCTGCCCACCCACACCTGGTGTGCCTGGCCCAGAGGAGCAGGGCCCCAAGGTGTTTCAGCCCTTACATTGCATCAGGGTCACGTGCAGACCCACTGCCGATCCCCTGTGCCAGGGAGGTGGGGGCATCAGGATGATCTCCCATCTCAATGCAGCCAGCAGCCTGTGCCCCTCACTGCCATGCTGGAGCCACATTAATTTACTGACCAATAAAATTTGCAGAATTTTACAATATTGTGCGCATAATTTTATTTTTTTGGCACAGAATTCCCTCAGGAGTACATATCTCCGACTATCTAGCTTCCCCCCCAAAATGTGTCCACTCTAGCTCTGTTTGTGGCACAGTGTGGGAAAACTTGATTGTCCAGAGGACAAAGACAGTTGTCCCATGGGATTGTGGAATACGTTTGGCAGAATCCAAGAGCACATGTCCAGTGGCACTGCATCAACACTGCAAAACAATGGGGCTTGAACTGTGGGTCCTGCCTGACTCAGGCTTGGACCCTCCATTCTCATGGGATCCTGGGACTCTGGGTTAGCACAATGTGTGTGTAGACAGAAGGCTCAAACCTGAGTTTGAGCCCTGGGCTTACCCTATGTCTAATCTGACCAAACAGAAACTAGAAAAAACTTTTAAGAACAGTCTGCCATAAAACAGTATAACTTTTTTGCTTTGCAGTTTGTCTGTTAAATAACTGTCAGAGTTAAATGAATGAATGGACATGTACTTAACAGGATACCATTTAGTTCTACGCTAAAGACTTCACAATTAAAAAGTGTAAGCAGCTCGTCACCTCAAAAAATGTAAGAAAATAATCAGGTAAGATCCTGACATTATTTAAAAAAATGGAACTAAAGGCTGCTGAACACTTCAATAAAACAGCCAGTTAAGATTAACTCTGCTTATCATGAGTACCTTGTTGCAGCTCATTAGTGATACAAGTAAAACAAACAGCTGTTGAGCTGAAATATAAGCATAAAGATAAAAAGCTAGGGAAAGCAGAAAGTCCAAAATTTGTCAGGACTTTGTCCCTACTTCCAGTAGGACTGATTACGCTTCTTGAACCATCAGGATGTGTTGGGAAAGAGAAAGTCTCATAGAAAAGGCACTTGCCTTTGACATCCAGCAGCACAGTTTGATACAAATTTTAGAACCTACATTAAATGAGTTTGGTGGTCTTGACACACTCCACCTTGGAAAAACATTAAGAATCATTGAAGCTACTAAAAATAAAAAACTTGATTTGCTCAGAGAAACTTAATCTAGTTGGAAGCATTTATTTCACACCCTGGACACTATTTTTCCTATAAAAATGTGTGTGTTTTACACACAGCTAGCAAGAACTGATAATTTTAATATCTGAAATTTGTCATCGACATCCGCCACCATTTTCAGACATGGGTACCTAAAATAAATGGCCTGATTTTCAGAGGTCCTGAGCAACCAGAGTGTTTGTAATGGGAGTGGATGTTCAGCACCTCTGAGAGCCAAGCCACTAAACACCAATTGCAGTCAATAGGAACTGCAAGTGCCCAACACTTCTCAAAGTCAGGAACAAGGTGTAAAGAGGGTTACTAGAAAAAAAAACATGCATGGAGTATGCTAGTAAAACCAGACCTCTTACATGGGATCAATGTACATTTTCTCTTGGTGGCCTGACATTCGAAAGACTGTTCTCCTAAGAAAATGATTATTAAAAAAAAAAAAATTCTACTTGCACAAACGCTAGTTGAATTTGATCCAATATGATTATGCAGAAGATTTTACAAAACCTGATTCCCAACAGAAATACCTGTTTTGTGTATTTTAAATTGACAGGGGTATTTTTAAACAAAAAACATTGCCTCTACAGTGTTTGCAACAGGAGTGCATGAAAACCTGAAAATAATATTGATCAGAATCTGAGACAAAAGCGGAACTGACTAATTTTCAGCCAGGAACTGACAAAAAAAAAAAACGATCTACTTCTCTTAGCTAGCTAGGATGTGGCCAAAACACAGCAAAATCTGATAAAAGCAAGCAGCATAGGAGGATGGGGGGAGGATAAGTCATATTTAAAACTTTTGGTTTCAGAGGTCTGTTCTTTTTAATATAGGTAAGTTTTGTCCCCGCCCCCCGCCGCCTCTGAATACAGGACATTTAACCTGAATATCTATATTCAGCAATAAGTGAACAGTCATTAAAAAGTTTCTTTAACATTAGGGTCTCTCCACAATTTTGTCTTAAAGATGTCTGTCTCAATATAAACATTGAATGTTTCCCCATTAACTTGAAGAATTATGAAGAACATGAAGAAAAATGCATCTATGCAAAAAAAAAAAAAAAAAAAAGGCCAGAATAAAAGATGCAAAAGTAAAGGTCACAACTCCAGTGTTATCACAATCATTTTCGATTCTTGTTTTTCTTGGTGAAATATGTAACTAGCAATACATGTGTCCCAACATGTATACCATAAAACACAGAAGTTGCATAATGCAACCATGTTAATTCTGTCACTCAAGTCTTAATTTTTGCATTTCCTGAACGCAGTTTTAAGTGTGCATGTTCATTAATCTAATTATATTCATTTATTTTTGAAATTTAAGTATAGCACTAGTATATATATATTGTTCAATTTTCTTGATTTATGTCACTATAGCATTAATTTTACTGTTTCTGCAATATTTATCTTGTATTAGTTATTCATGATTGATGATGAAAAATCATTTACAAAACAAAAGCATGTAAATTAACTGATGGTTTCAATACATCTTTTGACATGAATATAAATGATACACAAGGAAAATTCTAGGACACAAGGGAACATAAAAGGGCAATATTAACTACCCGTATAAACTCGTTCATTAGCCAGTTCGTTTATAAGCCGGCCTCCCAAAATGGATAGATAAAAATAGCAGAAACTGTATGATCCTTTCATAAGCCAACCCTATATTTCAGGGGTTGGAAAAGTTTGGTTGGTAACCCGCTGGCAGGTTGGGACGTTTTGTTTACTTGAAGTGTCTGCAGGTGGGAAGTGGCGTGCCATTTCCTGCAGCTCCCATTGGCTGGGAACTGTGGCCACAGGGAGCTGAGGGGCTCCATGCCTGCAGACACTCCAGGTAAACAAAACGACAATGTGTTAGATATTCAATAATTCCATAGAGTTTAAAATCATCAAATTTTGGTGTAGACACATTTATAAGCCAACCTCCGCTCTTTGATGCGTCACTTTTTTACCAAAAACATTCGACTTATGAACGAGTATATACGGTACATTGTATATACACTCATATGTTGTTCTCCTGATTATTTTCGGTCAACTGATACAAACAATGAATGTTAAAAAATCTATTATAAATAGTGAAGTTGATGTAATGCATACTTACTATTCCAACACTAAGATGATTTCATTGTTCATTTCATAGACTTCATGGAGATTAACTACACGAGGACTAGACTTTGTTAATTCAAGCACAGCAATTTCATGTAAAATTTCTGCTTTGCAGTCCTGTCCTCTTCTCCTCTTCTTTAGAAATTTAGCTGCATATTCTTGGCCTGTGGATTTAGCTATACATTTTCTAACCACAGCACATCTTCCTCTGCAAAGAGAATGGAAAAGATTACGATTTCTTTAGTGAAAATTATGACAATTACACTGAAGCTTAGATATGGGCACTTCACAAATACTTAAGATAAATAGTTGTTTGCAGTGTTATTGTAGCTGTGTTGGTCCCAGGATACAAGAGCAACAAGGTAGGTGAGCTAATGTATTATTGAGCCAACTTCTGCTGGTGAAAGAGACAAGTTATCAAGCTCCAAAGACCACTTTTTTGGGTCCTGAAGATAAATAAGTTAATATTTTTCTAGTACATTAGTGTCCAAAGAGAATTACGTGTTCAAAAAAAGTAGTTAGGCAGCACTTATATAGCATGGTTTCACTGTGAGCTACAAAACCAAATGGCAAGTTCTTTCAGGCATTTAGGAAACTATAACTGCATTTCTTCTATGTTTATGGATTAAAACATTCTCAGACATGAACTCATGATAATACAATATTTAACCAAAAATGAAAAATGAAGGTTCATATGCAATCAGGTTGCAGTAATGAACTAAAATTAGTTATTTTTCTACATAAGCAATTGTTGTTACTACAGAGATGTTATGCAATCGTGAACAAAAAGGGAGGTAGTCCACAAAAGACTCTCTTCCACAGGTTGGACCACATCTCAATAGTTTGACTATCCTGGCTAGTGTACTGTTTCTTTCAATAAATCAACACTATCATTTCAGCAAATATCGGATGTACTAATATTATAGTAAGATTAGAAATCACTTCCAGCTATTAAGGGGCTTACAATGTCCAGTTCAAATTAGCTAAAAAAAATTAAATGTGCACATAAACACATTTTGCATATGTAGGACATTTGATGCCAATATCTCAAAGTGCTGCACACACATTTAAGATTCACTCCCACTCCTCTGACACAGCTTAATAGTTATAAAAGTTTCTCTATTTGTCATGTTTAAGACAATTTATTTCTAATTTAGGATTAAGTAATTTGTGGGAAGTACAGATAGCCTCCATTTAATTATGTTAAGGTTTCTCTAAAAGTGTGCCTTATTGGGAAGAAGCTCCCATGAAATGTAGGAGATTTTCAAGGCCCATAAATTCCCTCCATACACAATTCTCAAGATTGAAAACAAAAGCTTCAGCTTTTGTGCATTTTTATAAAAATCAATTCTTACGTGTTTTGTTTGTCTATTTTAAAAACAAACTGGAAAGCTGAGTTACAATATGAACTTTTAGATGGTTAAACTCAGGCATGGAAAAGCAAGAGACTTGCCCGGGTTTGTGCAGCAAGTCAATGATAAAATCAGAAATACAATCCAGTAATCTTGTCACTCAGTCCTATTTTTTAGCTGCTAGACATCATTCTTCTTCTTGAATATAGTACAAAGACAAAGCGTTCTGTTTCATTTCCTTGACAACTGTTAAGTATAGAAGCAAAAATATGTTTTGGTAAAGACAAGTTTTTAGAAGAAAGCCACATACTGTTTCTAAAAACCAAGCTGACCTTTTAGAAAATTAGAGAAAAAAAATGTACTTCCTAAGCCAAGTTATAAACTCCTGAAAAAGCAAGGTTTATGATCACAAGGACATTTCCAACAGTGCCTAGTTCCACAATTTAATTATGAAGTATTTTCAGGATTAGATAAAAAATAGCATGGACTTTTAAGAACTGAGACATAATGAAATAAAATTAAAAATTTCAAATGGTGTAAATATGAAGAACTTTCTAAAGTTTTATATACAAAGATCAGCAAATTGTATATTTTCAGAGTTCATATACATCACTGAGTGTGCAGATGATGCCTTTCCACATGTAAATTCTATCACCTATTCACACAAAAGATAATGCTTGAAAAGGTCATGTGCAAAACTGGATTCTGGGTTGAGGCCCCTGTTGAAGTCTGAATCAAACTCACTACAAAAAATATACCCATGCTGCTTATCAAAAACAGTTTCCATTTGCAGGTAATATTAAATACACCTTCCAATTAGTATAAAATCTGATGAATTAAGAAATGGGGTAAAATTCCACAAGTTTCTAGTATTTATTGTTAAAAATATTGACTTAATACTCCCTCACTATTTTGCAACAGACCAGATAGTGAAATAACTAAGAACAAAATGTTGCTTTAAAAAACCCCAAAACCACATACAAAGGGCAGAAACAGATAGGGGTGCATATCGTGTAAAAGTCAACAAATGAATTAGTTAAAAGAAAGAGGTAGAAGAATGTTCTTAACCTGAGATGCACACCCTCTCATGCCAGATAATTTGAAATGGCTAACTGCTTTCCCAGCTGTGAAAATGCTTTGCAATAATCTGTTGTTTAACATGAATCAGTTGAATTCTATAACAAATAATAAAATTTGAAGATAAAATATATTTTGGTGGGTATTTGTCTTGCCCTACCAACCACAACTTAAATATTTTAAAAAAAAAAGAGGAACCATTTAAGTTTCATGTAAACAGTCAGAGCTTTCCTGCTAATTTCCTGAACATCTTCCTTCCACTTAGAGTGAACACTAGTTTTGAAAAGTCATGAGATACTATTAGTGAAGAGATGATACATGAATTATTATTAATAAAGGTTATTGCTTTTTATTTGCAATGCACCACAAATTTAAACTTGTGCTAATTAAGAAAAAAACCTGTAAGATGAGTTAAGACTGAAACAATAAAAACATAAGAATGGCCGTACTGGGTCATTTATCCACATTAAATTTCATTTGCCATTTTGTTGCCCAATCACTTAGTTTTGTGAGATCTTTTTGAAGTTCTTCACAGTCTGCTCTGGTCTTACTGATATATTTATTTATTCAAGATAGTTAAGTTCAAGGAAAGATACTTTTTGATAAAAAAAATCTGTAGAAAGGCAGGAAATTCATTATATTTTAACAATGAAATACAAAAATGAATAGTTAAGATAATCCCTGGTAAACCACCACCATGCACACAGGGCATGCAGAAATACATTTAATGAAGTTTCATAAGATCTACATCAGGTGTCTCAAACACACGGCCCGCAGAGTTATTTCCTGCAGCCCGCCATAGACGCTGACTCCACTGGCAGCCAAGCACCCCTCCCTCCTTCTCCGCCCCCATCCCCCGCAGCACGCCACGTCCCCGCTCCTCCGCCTACTTCCCAGTGCTTCCCTCCGCCAAACAGCCGTTTGGCAGCGCTTAGGGGGAGGCGCAGGGACGCAGCACGCTCAGGGAAGGAGGTGGAGAAGAGGCAGGGCCGGGATTTGGGGAAGGGGGTGGAATAGGGGCAGAGAGGGGGCGGAGACTTTGGGGAAAGGGTTGGAAGGGAAGACGCAGTTAGCTGGGTCAGCAAAACATAACCCACCTCTGGCCCTGCTGCTTCCAGCTCCCCACCACATGTTCTGGGGAGGAGGGCAGGCAGGCAGGCTCTCGGAGCTGCTATTTAAGGCAGTGTTTACAGTCACTCTCGCTCTGGGGGTGGGAATGTCTGCTGCGTGCATTTCAATGAGCCGTTTCCACAGTTCTCTGAAGTTTACCCAGTCAAACTGCCCAAGCTTGACAGACAGCCTTGCTGCTCCTCGCACCCGACCAAGCCATTGAGCCTGCTCTTCCTGCATCCCCAATCCTCCCCTCCAGCTATACCCCGACTCACACCAACCCTCGGCAAGCCCCTTCACCACTCTTCAAATCTCCAAACACACCCGCCACTGAAATCCGTCTCCATTGATCCCATGTGCAGTGTGAAACGCTGGGGGAGAAGGGAGCCAGGAAAGCAGCAGCAGCCAGTCACTGGAAAAAGCCCTTTTCCTTTAACACTGGGAGGGAGGGAAAGGGAAGGTGAATCAAAGAGAAATATTGGGGGGGAGAGGGGAGGAGAACAGGGATCTTGGATCTTCCAATTTACAAAAGCCAAGCCTGTTCCCCGCGCCTCTCACCCTCAACAACGCCTGGGTGGGAAAGAAATCCCCAATCCTCCTAGGGGACGCGGACACTTCAACACAGGTGCTGACTACTGAGTAAATTCGCTCAATAGAGGCCTACAACTCCCAGCATGCTCTACTCCACCTTCTACCAAGCTGCTGCCTTAGGCTACGTCTTCACTACCCGCCGATTCGGCGGGTAGCAATCGGTTTATCGGGGATCGACTTACCGCGTCTCGTGAGGACGCGGTAAAATCGATCCCTGATCGCTCTGCCGTCGACTCCGGAAATCCACCTCGACAAGAGGCGGCAGCGGAGTCGGCGGCACCGGTCGGCTTTCCCCCGTCCTCACCGCCAGGTAAGCCGACCTAAAATACGCAACTTCAGCTACGGTATTCACGTAGCTGAAGTTGCGTATCTTAGGTCGGAACACCGCTGTAGTGTAGACCTAGCCTTAGAGACGGAGCAAGGCATGCTGTGAGTAGTTGGGAAGAACGTTTGTTAAAAGTGTCAACGTAGTTTGTATGAATAGTTACTTTAAAAAGTTCCTGCCATTACAGGAATGTTGATAGACTGTTAGTGTAGAAGATCATCATCAGTGTTACTGACCACATAAGGAATAGTTACAGGTGTTTATATTTTATTAAAAGCCCTCTCCGCATTACAGTTTTTTAAAAGTTAATACATTGACTTTTAATAGCATACTATATTACTCTTCATTTTTGACTATACTTTTGTATGGTTGTATGAAAAGGTTTCAGTGATGTGGCCCTCGGGCCAATGTACTAGTCCTCATGTGGCCCTCGTGGTGATTTGAGTTTGAGATCCCTGATCTACATCAATGTACTCTGTCACATTTGACATGTGAGGTAGAAACGTTTTGCTAAAGACTTCCTGGTGAATATGCCATTTCTTCACTGTCCCCCCGTTAACACCTTTGTCACGTGCAATGAATAGTGCAGCCTTCTCCATCTCTGATCTCCCCACTCCAATCTGTCTAAAACATGACTACTGGGATCACACTCTTTCTCTGCTCCAAGCACATCACCCCATCCTTAGAATCCCTTCATTGGCTATGTGGCCCTTATCGTAACAAATTCAAGCACTTCCTCACCTACAAAACCATACATTCTACATCTCCATTTTTATTTCCAGATATTTCCCATTCTTCTCTCCAAACTCCTCCTTTCGTGTCCTTCCTACACTTGGCTTTGTGCCTCCTACCATGCTGCTCCCAACCCCCAGAGCAGACCAAGCTGTCTTTCTTCAGGCAATCTATACACCAGTGCTTCCCCCAAGCGTGGGCAAAGACTAGCAGGGGGAGGATGGAGAAAGGGGGCAAACAGGTCTCTTGCTTTGTTCTCCAGATTTTCAGCTTGCATTTAGAACAGTAAGTCTCTAGATAATGGGATTACAAAAAAACCTTTGAAAATATGATCAGAGTAACCGGTGAGCTATGTTTGTCTGAGATTCCAGTATTTCACTAATACACAGAATGTATGAAAGGAGAAGTAGTATCGTACAATGAAGAGCTAGACAGTCTACTTCAAGATTGTCCATTTTGGGTAGCCCTTTAACACCACGAAATGGTAGACTGAAGGTGGGACTTAGCTTTCAAAGGTTTAGGAAATGTTGCCTTCCACCCTTCCTTATAATTACTCCTCACACTATCCATTTTTTGAAAATTTTCCATGTCTTATTTAGATTATAACCTCTTCAGCATCTTTCTGAGCATATGTATGTAAGAAAAAAAATCATGCTCCCTGATACACACGTAGAGGAGATCCTGTGTACACAAATCTACACACACGCGTGTGGAAAGGGCTGGCAAGCCATTTATATGGCATCTTCCCTAGACACCACATAGACCTTTCCATTTGTCTGGGGATATGAACAGAGGAAGAAATGCATTTCATTTCCTCCGCATGCTCCACCTTCTGGAGTCTACTAGAAAAGATAACACAAGCTGGGGTTATATTACTTTCAACAAATACCGCTCTGCAGCTGGGATTTCTTTTCCATGTGAAGTTACATCCCTTTCCCCCCCAAAACCATCACATAATAGAATGTTCTTACCTTCCTAGTTCTTTAGGTTCAAGCATGTAAAAATCATAAAAATTATCCATCTTGATTTGTGTCTGAAGAGATGTGGACAAGCCTAAAAGGCTCTTGCTCTCCAACTTTCTCCTGGACATAATTCACACAAGGTCTTCTCTCCTCTGCTGGTTATCTATTTTCACCTGTCAAAGCAATATATGTATTTAAACATGACCAATACTACAAAAATCCCACTGCTACACAGCAGAAAAAGTCATCTCATAAGGCTATGTCATCAAAAATAGCTGTTTTAACACCTTTGGTTTTTCACATCTCTTAAAAAGAATGTTTTAACCAATAAGAATAGAGACCACTTATGAACTGAAGTCAATGGATAACAGGCTGAGCTATGGCCATATAAAAACTGTTTGTGACACATTTGTTAATACAACATCTAAAAGGGCCTCCCTGTTCTTACCATGTCTATCAAAATTGCAAAGAACATAGGAGAGCAGAGGAATATTTTGTATAAGAATTTCATAAAAATAAGTTCTCAGTGTTGAGAGTTGTATATTAAAGGATTACCACACAACATTAAACCAGTGAATAAATCAGCACACCTTTCCCAGGCTTATGAGTTACTAGCTATGTTCTTATAATTAGGTGAGGCTATTTAGAACCTACTGACGTGCATGTAGCATCTCAACTCTGTTACCTGGGTAATATGCTGCTACACAAGTTTATTAAGATACACCCTCCAACATTATCTCCATTAGCTGCCTATAAAACAGCAGATTATAACCCAGTACTGCACTTTTCATAGCCTGTGTTTATGTAGGCCATAGCTACATTCAAAGTCATCTCTTTGGGCCTTGTCCTGCACTTCCATACTATGTGCCTTAGAAACCTCACCATCGTGGTACCTCTCAGTCATGTCAATACTCAGTAGGGAATTTCTTATTAAAATTCCTCAGATTAAGAAGGGTGATACCATGGTTTGGAAGGTTGGAACCAAGAGTCTTCATGCTACTCTGGAGGATCTCTGATCCATTTCCTTGAAGGGGAAAGGCAAGGAAAGCTATCAGGCTGATTGTGGCTCAATTCCAGATCAAAGCATAGACTGAGAGGGCTTCCAATGGTGAGAACAATGGCTTGATTAAGCAAACAGCTTAAAGGGTGAGACATTTCCTGGAAAACCAATAGGTGTTCAGGAGGAAGTTCAAACTTCTCTGGTGAGATTTATGTTGCTAGGAAAATGGGTTTATCCACATAAGTTTTTTCCATTTTCTTTCCTGGAAAAGGAAAAGAAAAAAACAGCTGCCACCCGCAGCTTTCCTTAAAATATATATATATATACACACACACACACACACACACACATACATACATACACACACACACACACACACATCTCCAGTGCTGCATGAGGGGCAGATTCAAATGAGGATGTTCCAGTGGCTTGATGCAATGAACCTGAGCCATCACAGTAACTATGGTTCCAGACAGTAAGAATCAATGGCTCCAAAGAAGCAGCAAGCAACTTAAAATGAGGTTTCAGACATTGAACTGATGGCCTTGAATCTGGGGCAGGGTATGGTTCCATAATATGGCCCTGGCCCTCAATGTCACCCTTTGCTGTAGCTCTGATTTCTGCATAGGATTGCTTTTGCACTTCAATATGCAAATCCAGAAGTGCTGGAACATTAAGGCTATGCTCTCAAGGACTGGCTCTTTCATCTGACACATGTGAGGCCAAGCTTTTATGCTCTGCCACAGCCGACCTCCACCAATTCACAGTGACCAGCACCTTAGACTCCTTGGCTTGGGGCAAATCTAACTGTTCTGAAACCTTGCCAGACTTTTTAACCTGGGGGTCAGAGCTGAGTCTGGTCTTCCAGCACTTACAGAGACCTGCATTTCAGACCTGGAAGGTTTAACCACTGATGGTTCCTACGACAGCATAGGTTGGAAGAGATTCTGATGCTCCTTTCTGGTCCCAGAGTCAAAATGTTGCATATGAAACAACAAGAAACTAGATGACCTTCCTCCACACCAATACAAGCAGGCCAGATGATGCATATGTGCATCCAAAGCAGAAAGAAACAGCAAGACAAGAGGCACATCTCAAACTCTGGTTTCTCTGTCTCCAGTTCCAATGTATCAGAACCAAGTACTCATGCCAGGGCACTAATAGCCTTAGACAAAAAAAACCAAAAAACCAACAAGAAACACAGAGACCTAGCTAAGTAAAACCTAGCTAAACTAAGGCAGATGGATCACTGGGAACACTCCATTCTGACAAACCTGAGTCTATGAACCTGGTAAGGTTTCTGGTCTCTTTGCCTCTGCAGTTGGAAGAGACTGAGGCAGCCAGCGCTCAACCCCATTTCCTTTTTTATAGCCCATCCTTCAAACTGCCCTTCCTAAATTTTAAAAACTGAAACATCCAGTCTATTTCAGGGGAAAATATGTTCTAAACCATGTGAAGCAGTATAAATGCATGCAATAAGAGTCTTTGACATAATTTGAGGAGTCATTGCAAACCAGTTTCTATGCTACTCTGAATATCTTAAAGTTTGGTTTTTAACAGCCGAAACAAAAATTTAAGTTGAACATGTAAATCCTGATACTGCAATCAAGTTTGCACAGGCTGACCCGTGCACCTGAGGAGACTACCAAGGAAGGCAAAAGGGGTCAGGCACATGGATCCAATTGCAGAACTCGGGCCTCACTTTAAATTTAGAAGTCTTTTATATAGACATCAAGGTTCTTGAAATGAGTTCATTTGAGATATTCAGGCTGCACTAAAAGAATAAGTCTCTCAATTACTCACTGCTTGTTGAAGGATACACAGTTATGCCAAAGCCATAGAACAGCAAGTAGTGATCTTTCATACAGTATGGTAAGCGTGATGCAAGATCGGAACAAAACGGGGTTACTTAAGGACAATAGCAAACTTAAACAAAAAAACGAATAAAGTTAAAACATGTTTTTGAACAGTTAAAAATGTAAATCAATAGAAATGTCTAAGACTATTTTTGAAAGTTCAACAGTATCTAGTGGAGTCTCGAAGGGGTCTGCCTTGAGTCCAGTACCATTCGATATTTTCATTATGACTCAGATAATGGAGTGGAGAGTATGCTTAAAAAAAACCTGTGGCTGGGAGGAGTAGCAAGCACTTTGATTAAAAGGATTAGAAATCAAAATGACCTTGACAAACTGGAGAATTATTCTGCAATCTACAAGATGAAATTCAATGCAGATATGTGCAAAGTGCTACACTTAGAAAGGAAAAAAAAAATCAAATGCATCACTACAAAATGGGGATTAACTGGCTAGGTGGTAGTATTGCTAAAAACAATTGGGGATAATAATGGCTCACAAATTGAATGTGAGCCAATAATGATGCAGCTGCAAAATAAATAATAATAAAAAAAAACCCTAACATCCTGGAGCATATTAACTGGAATGTCATGTGTAAGACACGGGAGGTAATAGTCCTGCTCTGTTCGGTACTGTAGAGGCCTCAGCTTGAATAACGTGTCTTGTTATAGGGACCACACTTTAAGAAAGATGTGAACAGACTGGAGAGAGTCCAGAGGAGAGCAAAGAGGAAAGGTTAAAAAAACTGAGAATGTTTTAGTCTTGATAAGAGACTGAGCGGGTACATGCCAGTCTTAAAGTGTGTTAAGGGCTGTTATAAAAAGGACAGTTCTCAGCTGTTCTCAATGTCCACTAAAGGTAATACAAAAAGCAATGGGCTTAATCTACAGCAAGGAAGATTTAAGTTACATATGAGGAAAATTTTTCTAACTATCAGGATAGCTTAGTACTGGAATAGGTTACTAAATGAGGTTGTGGAATCCCCATCATTGGGAGTTTTTAAGAACATATGAGAAACACCTATCAGGGATGATCTAAGCACATTTGGTCCTGCTTCAGTGAGGAGGGCTGGACTAGAAAACCTCTTTAGGTCCCTTCCAGCCTTACATTTCTATGAATAGATGATTAAACAACTTCAGTGTCAGCAGTTTATCTTCCAATTTGGGGGTGGAGGAGGGAAACAACGAAAGAAATATCGTATCTTCATCTCCTTCAAACCAGTTATCGTTCATATCTAACACATTCACATCAATAGTGTGAAATCACCAGTTCTCTGAATTTATACATTCAGAATGGAACTACTTTGACTCGTATTTATTGGCTATAAGAAATAACAGTCATTAAATCTAGTTTGTGGATTCTTCAAAGAAGTCTGTGTCATGGTTTAAAAGTTTTGACAAGTTTTTTAATTAAAATATAAAGGGAACATAATTTAGGCCAACCACAACATATTAAAAAGACAACTTCAAAAGTGTTATGTTATAAACAAGTCTTTATTTATCCATTTTAGTAATAGCAACTTAGATTATGAAAGTGAAATAATGCTGAAAATCCAATTTGTCACTACTTATACTGGGTTTAACTTTAATAGCCCAAATGGAGCAAACTGTAGTTTCACTTTGAGGTTCTTAGTACTGCATTGTTTTGGTTTCAAACTTGCAGTGTGAGTTTTTTCACTAGAATTTTATAAACTGTAGAGACATATCTATAGTTTTGTGAATATATTTAGGATTAAACACTTTTTAAAAGTTAAATTGTGCCAACTTTGGCATTCCTTTTACACTGTTATGACCAGATAACAAATGCAGCTTTTACAAAAATAGCAGTTACTTGAGAATATGAAGGGGAAAAAAAAAGCACACCACTGTTTATGTAAGAATAACATCTTGTGCTCTGCTCCTGAAGAGCCAGTAGGGAAACAGAAACTAAATTTAAAAAGTAAGCCACAGAATAATGCCAAACATCATCACATGATATTGGTACAAGAAAAGAGAGATGCCATACGATGGCCCAAATCTGCACGTGTAGGTCTGTGCAATCACAAAAGTCATAGAAGTGTAGGACCTCAATAGGTCACCTAGTCCAGTCCCCTGCACTCAAGGCAGGACAAATATGCAATGTGTTCACAGGATCAGGCTTCCTAGTTTTTTAAACTCCAATGGAAACAAAGGCAGTTAAGTAAAGAAAATTTAAAATTCATATACATTTAATGTCTTCAAAAAGAAAAATTAAGAGTAACAAAACATTTTTAAACATAAAGGTTCAAGCATTTCATTTTTTTGCTAGTGTTAGACATATTTCAAGCATGAGTTGAGGGAGTAGCTAAAAAACCTGAGAAAATGCAAGTGTCATTTATCCAACTAAAGCTAATGAAAGATGTTAAAAAAAAAAAAAAAGCTATATTCGGAGCTGGGAAGCTGCAGTTTCAGCAGCGAAGAACCCAGGCATTTGTGAACTACATCAGGACAGCATATGAAATGGTATGTCTAGAATTAGAAGAGTGTCTGAGTGCATTCTCAAGGGAGTAAGAAGTATGACCCACAACGTCCATAGCCTTAAAATGATGTCCAGAACTCACACAGGCAAGGGCTTCTCTTGCTGCTGTGGAGTACTGTAGGGAATTATGGTTACAGAAAGCTTCACAGATGGTAAAGTCATTAACCCTGCCTCACACCAAGCTCCATCCTCTGCTACGTTTTGTTTTACCCCTTTATTTTAGGCCCGCGTTGCCCACTTCACGTGCCAGTAACAAAGCTAAAAACGCAGGAGTATTCCTGGGTGGAAAGGACGGAACTAAGGAGAAAGGCACCGACTCCTCCAATGTTCGCAACCTCTCTTCAATCCTGAACATGAACAGTGCTTAACCCCAACCCGCCCCTCTTCCTACCTAGGTCTTAACTCGCCAGCGGCGCAGCACTCACTAGTCTTGACAACGGCCTACCGGGAGCGGCACCTAACGCGTTTCAGAGGCCGGCGCTCGGCCCCAGAGAGGTTCTTCCTTCGGGCCGGCTCTCCGAGCGCTACGGCTGAGCCCTGCGGGCCCGGGGCGCGCTGCTGGGAGGGCGAGGGGCGAGTCGCACGCAGGTGGGCACTGAGGGGGGCAGCGTGCGCGGGAGAACGGCCCGCCCGGCTGCCCTCGGCTAGGGAGCCCCCCTGCCAGTCACGGCGCCTGCGGCGAACGTTGTGCCGCCGGTTCCTTGGGCGGGTGCCATCCCCCGGCAGGGTGACAGAGCTGGGCGTCACTCGCCCCAGGCTTAGCGACGCTCCGGCTGTTCCCGCCCCTACCCTACGCCGCGGGGGCTCCCCCAGCCGCAGAAGGAGGAAGGTGCCACCCGCGTCGGTGGCTCTCGGGGAGAGACCCCGGCCGGGGGCAGCATGGAGGCGCCTCCCCCTATCTCGGAGTGTCCCATCCGCGCCGTGGCCAGGGTCTCCCGGGCACTTACCGCGAAACACCCCGCTCCTCACGCGCCCCCACAAACGGACGGCGCCGCCCTCGCGCTCGGCACTGCCCGGCGCCCCAACCGCAGCCCGCACAGTTGGCGTTTGAAAAGCGCAGCCCGGCAGCTGCGGCTGCAACGGCGCCTGCCCTCCAGCCCCGGCCCTCCCACCTAGCATAGAGCCAATCCGCGCCGGCTGTGGGCGGGGCCTTCCCTCAGTGATTGGCAGGAACTCCCTCGCATGGGGAAGGGCCATGGGAGCCCCTCACTTTCGAAGGCATGCGCTGGGAAGCCCTAGGGGCGAGGGAGGGGGACAGAGGGATGATGAGGAAATGGAGGCACGCGAGAGGGATCAGAGCACACGGGGCCAAAGGGCCGCTGCAGCCCCGGCAGTGCAATAGTTTAGTATCAGCTCTGCCCCACGGGCTGGGAGTTACTGGCCCCAGGGAGGAAGCTGACCCACTGCTCGCCAGAGGCAGAGGTGATGCTGTGACAGCATTCTTCGCTAGTACACAGGACCGTGGTGTAACTTGGGCTGAGTGGGAGGAAAGGCGAGGCTTGGACTGGAAAAACCACCAGCAGCAGCTTTGTGAAGGGAGGGGACTTGCCCCATCTTAACTCTTCCTGGTGGATCCTCTTTCTTCCACCCTTTGTTCACCACATTTCTATGTCCCCTCCCACACTTTTGCCCCCATCACAGGTAGCTCCCACATGCCGTCATACTAACTCACTGAGATTTACATTGTCAGGTCACCTCTGATTTCCCTGATATATTCAAGGAAATATCAAACTCGCTCAGTAACTAGTCAGCGAATAGAAAATCAATAAAAAACGAGTAGCAAATGTAGCTTTATTAACCTGCATCTTGCTGGTTGGGGAGACTATCCCAAGGAAGATAACACATCATCATGAGCCCTGCCATTTACACCCTCAGAGAAGAAATGATAAAGCCACTTTAAAAACTGAATTGTTTTTTAAGGCATTTAAGACTGAAGGGCGGTACCCCGAATTACTGTATATCGCTGTAGCTTCGTTGACTTAGTGCCTGTTGATTGGGTCCAAAGTCTTTTAAAACTTTATCCACCACTTCATTTCCCTACTCTCGTGGAGGGAAGTTGAAGACAGTGATTGCTATACATTCTTTCCTTTTACTTATTTACTTTTTTATTGGTTACACGTGTGCAAATGCAATAGCTGAGGGGCATGTTTCCAAAGCTTCTGAAGATAAAGCAGAAGAATTGGTAACTCCTCCCCTCCATACTTGCTATGTGTATAGTACTAGATTGGGGTAGGCAACATGTGGCATGCAAGCTGATTTTCAGTGGCACTCACACTGCCCGGGTCCTGGCCACCGGTCCCGGGGGCTCCGCTGCTGGCCTGGGGTATCGGCTGCCAGCTTGGGTTCTGTCCACCGGCCCCGCTCAGCCCGCTGCTGGCCCTGGGTCTCGAGCACCGGTCCCGGGGACTCCACTGCCGGCCCGGGGTTCCGGCCACTGGCCCCCTGCCAGCTCGGGTTCCGGCAGCCGGCCCCACTGAGCCTGCTGCTGGCCCCGGGTCCCAGTCACCCAGTGGCCCCAGCCTGGGGCAGTGAGGGGTGCAGACAGGGGCAAGAGGGGGGCGCAGCTCAGCACCCCCACCTTAAAAATTGTTCCAGTGCCATTGTGCTGGGATATTTTTAAGTCCTGATTTGCTGCTTACATCACTATCACGCCACGTGGAACAGCGCACTGCATTTGACGTTGAGATTAGAATGTACATGCAAGAACTGGAATCAGAATTTTCTGACAGATTTCAAGATTTCCAGTGATTTGGCCCAATGCTTTCTTTTCTAATTAAACCTGAAAACTTCAACGAAAGCAACTTGAATTTGTCTGTATTTCAGTGGATGGGTGTTGAAAATTTCGAAATGCAGCTCATTCAGTTAAAAAGCCCAGAATTGTGGGCATCAAAGTTTGGTGATCTGCAGAGTGCACTTGAAGCTACCGAGAAGATCACGGGGCCTCTCTTCTGATCTGCTGGACGTCCCTGCCAGTGAAATTTAACTGTTTGAAGAAAATTGCATTTGCAATGCTTTCAGCATTTGGATCCACCTACCTGTGTGAACAGGTTTTTTTCACACATGAAATCTGTCCTCTGTCCCTCTCGGAGCCGGTTAACAACTGATTGCTCAGAAGCCTGTGTGCAGCGTAAAGTATCCAAATACGTGCCAGACATTAGAAAACTCAGCAAGGAAAAGCAAGAGCAAGGATCACACTAAACTGATAAGATCTGCATTTTAATTTAAGTTTAAATGAAGCTTCTTAAACATTTTAAAAACCTTATTTACTTTACATACAACAATAGTTTAGTTATATATTATAGACTTATAGAAAGAGACCTTCTAAAAACGTAAAAATGTATTACGGGCACTCGAAACCTTAAATTAGAGTGAATAAATGAAGACTCGGCACACCACTTCTGAAAGGTTGTGACCCCTGTACTAGATCCAATAAAGTACTCTTCCCATACAGAATATATCATATATTCCCTTGTCAGTTAATCATTTTTAATCTTAACATTGAATGAGGTTTAACAATATGTACACAAATGGTAGCTTTGGAGTCCTAGAACTTGGAAAGAATAAAAAATGACAATGTTATGGAGGAAATATTAGGTGAAGACCACTAGAGGATGCCAAAAAGTGCATAGCACACCAGTTGGAGGTCATATCATTTGAATCATGGAAGGTCAAGTCTAGGCAAAATCATTCAGTATTGTGGACTGGACATTTTCTTACCCGATCATTTCCTTTCTGCAAGCAGAGTCTCCCACAATTCTGCAACATATGGACTATTCCAAAAATTTGTAGAAAATAATTAATAATAATTCCAATGCTAACCAAGTAATTATGTACAGTAAGTCCTTGTTTATATGGTAACTATCCAAATAGTTGGAGAGCTGTCCAGGGTGGGTAGAACTGTGGGAGATGCTGCTAGCAGAAAGGAAATTATTGGGTAAGAAATTTTCCATTCTGCAACCTAACATCTCCCACAATTCTGCTACATGTGGGAAGTAGCAAGCAGTGGACAGGAATGGGGAGGGATAAGAGAACAAACAGAAAATAAACCCTTCACAATTGCTCAGATGGCAAGGTTATTACTGGACCACCACCTGCAGTACCCTCCTGTCAAAGCAGGCTTCAGGAAGACAGAAAATAGCATCTGATAAAGGTGTTAATTGATGTCCAGGTTGCTGCTCTGCAGTGGAAGCTTATGCTCTTTCAGCCCCTGAGGTTGCCATAGGATTTTGTGAAATGCGCCTTGTTTCCTTCTGAAACAGCCACACTGGATGCCTTGTAGAACTCAAGGACACAGTCCGATCCATCTGGCCAGGGCTAGCTTGGTTACTTTAAGGCCCTGACACCTTGAGTGAAAGGAAACAAACTCCTTGTGGATTCTGTGTGCTTGATATAAATCTTTAGTGCTCATCTGACATTCAAGGTGTGCCATAGCTTCTCAGTTGGTTGCTGTGGCTTTGGACAGAATGAAGAGAGGAAAATCTCCTGCGAGGCATAAACAGGATAATTTACTTTAGGCAAGAACATTACTGGAGGTCTTAGCAACACTTTGTCATCATAGAACATGCAGTAAGGTTCCCGCACAGATAAGGCATCCAGTTCTGAAACTCATCTGGCGGACATGATGGCGACCAAACCAGATTTTGATGGAGAGGTAAAATGATAATACAGATGTTAGAAGTTCAAAGGGATGGGTGGTTAGGGCTTTCAGCACCAGTGGTAGGTCCCACTTATGGAAGCTTGGTCTGACTTCTGGTCTGGCCAATCTGTCTGCTCTGAGAAACCTGGATAATTCAGGGTTCTTGACCAGGGAGTCCTAGGATCCTGCAAAACAGTATGCTATTGAAGGCTGACACCTGGTGTGCTATGGTGCTTGGGTGATGTCTTTTAATCACTCCTCCTTGAAGGAAGTCTAGAGAAACTGGATTTAGTCTCTACTCTTGACATCAAGCACTGAATTTGGTCCAGATGAAATAATAGGCTTTTAGTATGGAAGCTCTCCTAGAAGACTGCAGAGTCCCTATCATGTTGGAAGATAGGCCAAGCACAGCTAACACTTCCCTTCCAACAGTCAGGCTGCCAGATGAAAATGGTCTGGGTCCAGATGGATGAATGATCCAGGTCCAGATAGGCGAATGGTCTTTATTAAAGGATGTCTGGCCTCACAGTAGCTGCAATGGTGGTTTCAGCTTTGAGTTCTATGATGTAAAAGAACCAGGGTCTCCTTGGCCAGTGCAGAGTTAGCACTATCACCCTTGCTTCTTCTCGCCTTAACTTTTTGATTACTTTCTCTATGACAGGTAAGTGCAGGAAGGAATATAGCAAGCCTTGAGGCCATCTGTGTGACAGGGCACCTGTCCCCACAGACTTGGGGTCTGCAAGGTCTGATGAAGTATTTTGGTTGTTTTGCATTCTTGCAATTGGCAAACAGCTCTGCTGAAGGAAGACAGTGTCTGTGGTTTAGGCACCATTCTGAGTTGTTATATTGCAATGACTGAGCCAGTCTGCCTTTGGGTTCAGCTCTCCTTTGAAGTGGATCACCTTTAAGAAAGGAAGAGTCATTTTTGCCCACTCAGTTTTCTCCATTGCTTCTGCACATAGACCTACTTTCCTTGTCCTTCCTTGGTTAAGGACATAAGACTGGCCATACTGAGTCAGATCAATGGTCCATCTAGCCCAGGATCCTGTCTTCCAACAGTGGCCAGTGCCAGATGCTTCAGAGGGAATGAACAGAACAGGGCAATTATAGTCAAGGCTTAGCAGTCAGGGGTTTAGGGACACTCAGAGCATGGGGTTGCGTCCCTGACCATCTTGGCTAATAGCCATCAATGGACTTATCCTCCCTAAAAAAAATGTTTTTGAACCCAGATATACTTTTGGCCTTCACAACATCCCCTGCAGAAGTTCCATAGGTTGACTGTGCGTTGTGTGAAGAAGTACTTCCTTATGTTTGCTTTAAATCTGCCGTCTATTAATTTCATTGGGTGACCCCTAGTTCTTTTGTTTATGTGAAGGGGTAAATAACACTTTCTTATTTATTT